CTAGCCAGCCGGCTAGCTAGCTAGCTAGCTGGCTAGCTAACTGGCTAGCTAGCTGGCTAGCTAGCAGGGGTTTGCTACCGCTGGCTAGCTGGGTGAGGGCAGCTAGCCAAATGCTGCTTCTTTCTCCAAGAGTATGAACATGATTCCACTTGCATGCAAATCTAAATATATAGACATTTGTTATTTATTTATTTATTATTTATTTATTTATTTATTTATTATTTATTTATTTATTTATTTATTTATTTATATTTACGAATAGAAAGAGTTACAATTGCAAACAGAAGAACAAAAGAGAAAAGCCAAATGCTGCAAAAGAGCTTCTGCAGCAGGGGCTCCCCTGTGGGCCCCTGCGCCCCGCTGTACCCACCTTGGGGGGCCCCTCTGGGGCTATCGGGGGCCCCCAGCCCTTTGCTTGGGGCCCCTGTTTATCTAGAGGGGGCCCCTAGGCTCAAGGAGCTGCTGCTGCTGCTGCTATTGCTGCTGCTGCTGCTGCTGCTCTGCTTTTGATGGGGGAAGCAGGCAGTCTATCTGTGCTGCTCGTTGTGCGCCTTTGTCCCGGTGTCCATACACCTCAAACTTGGTTTTTTGCTGCTCTATTCCCTTTTTGAATAAATTAAAATTAAAAGAATTTATCTTCCTTCTCTTTAAGCCATTGTTTGGAGCATTTCAAGCGTTTGCTCTTGTCGCCCGCGAGTGTCTTGGCGATGCGGGAGTGGCGCGTTGGCTCCGGTGTTTTGCATTTTCTGGACTTCTTTTGATCTTTTGGTTTAAATTGTTAAATTAGAAAGTTAAATTGCATTTATTTTCTAAATTGAGTCCGCCAGAAGGGAAAAAGATAGACAAACTAGCCCGGATAGCGGCGCCGTCTTCCCGTCTCGCCTGCGCCTCTGCCGCGGGGGAGCAGGGGGCCCTCAGCCCCTCAGAGTGGACAAAAGAGTAAAAATATTCTTTTTTCTTCTTTAAATTTAACTTTAACTTCAATTTAAAAGTTTTAAATTCCATTTAAACGCAATTTCGCGGCGCCGCCTCTCTGCCCCGGCGGCCACGCAGCCCGGGTGACCTTGCCGGGTGGTCTGTTTGCCTCAGCTCGAGCCTTTTGGCCCGGCCTTGCTGCTTTATTTAATCAATTTGAATTTAGTAATTTAAATTTAATTCAATTTAACATTTAAAACCAATTAAAAGTCCCAATAATGAACAGGCGCTGGCTCTGCTGCCTGCTCGCTGCTGCAGTTGCTGCTGCTCTCAGCAGTGCTGCTGCAGCAGGCCAAAATTACTCATCAGCCCCTTACCAGCAAACCCCACAAGCCAGCCCCTATTCAGGCTCTGCTGCAGCAGCAAATGAGGCTGCAGCAGCAAAAGAGGCTGCAGCAGCACACAGCAGCACGGGGGCCCCCCAGGGGCCCCCTGAGGAGCCCATTGACTTTACTGAGCAGCTGGTGAGGGACCTGCAGCGGCTGCAGGAGCAACAGGAGCTGCACGAGCTGCAGCAGGCGTTCCAGGAGGAACTGCAGCAGGACCAGCAGCAGCAGCAGCAGCAAGAGCAAGACCAGCAGCTGGAGCAAAACCCGCAGCACGGGCAGGACCAGCAGCAGGAGCAGCAGCAGCAGCAGCAACAGGTGCAGGACCAGGAAGAGCAGCAGCAGGAGCAGCAGCAGCAGCAGCAGGAGCAGCAGGAGGAGGAGCCCGTGCTGCTGCTGGGGGCCCTGCGGCTGGAGACTTTGTTCGAACACATGACGGCGCTGCAGCAGCACTTCCTGCTGGCTGTGCTGCCGGAGTCTTGGGCAGTTCCAAAGTTTGTGCCAGCAGCAGCAGCAAACGGAGAGTTGGGGCAAGTGCATGCGTTTTTGCTGCAGCTAGCTGAGGGTTTGGGGGCCCCCTCTCCAGTGCCGGCTTTGGTGGACATAGCCGAGGCGGGGCAGCTGCCGCTGCTGCAGCAGCAGCTGCAGCAGCAGCTGCAGGAGCGGCTG